AATGAGAAGCGGCAAGTTGGTTGTCAGTGCCAGGGTGAAATGGAGGAGGTCATGTGAAAAGGATATGGAAACATTTAGGAGCATGTGCCGCCAGGTGACAACGTTGGCACAAGGGAAACGTTCGGCTGAATCCCTATGTTCCTCTATGAACTAAAGGAAACAATAACAATCAAGATACGCTCATATGGATACTTCTAAGTTATTAAATTGTTGAAAACGCATTGACGATTTGCATATTAAACAGTTACTAATGAAATATGACCACAATTCCTTTTTGAAGCCGATATTATTCAGTTACAGTAAGCTATCTGATAGTTACCCTACAGCAAATAAAGAAGGCAAGCATGCATGCCTATGTTAAATACTACTCATTGACTGATACGAGTAGTTGTATACCACTGATATCAACCACCAGTGCTTGGCTATCCAGGTCAGTATGATCTAAAAACCGGAGAGCTGTTTTGCACTGACCTCATCATCAGTGTAGCCAGGTTTACTTGAATCAGGTAGCCGAATAGGTTCAATCCACCCGGATTCTGCTTAGCTACTTGAACATACGGGAAATTATGTAGAGTCATTTTCGACAGGGAGAATTTTTGGTCGTTGGGGGAGGTATCAAACTATGAGTATCAATTAAAAGTACCAACTAGTATTTATGTATGCCTACTTTCTTGATTGTTATTTATAGTATCAAGCGGGTCAAATATTATGAAGTGAATAATTTTGGTTTCCAAGGGAAAATGTGGTGAATTTTCACCTCGAAATGTGTAATTTGCAAGCTGGGAATTTGATACAGCTTTTTGTGATGAAGTCATTTGTGTCTGTTTGTGCTGCTAAGTTTATCGCATTCGTGTACATGGAATCATGTCGTGAGAATTGATAGGTTTCAGGGTTATCAATATATATCTTAAGGCCCGGAGATTCCTAGGTTTTCGATTTCTCTTCAATTCCCTGAAGGTCCTGCAATCCATTGTAGTAATCACTGATCCGATTTTACGGTCTATTTATTCTATGCATAATTTCTCAGTGTCGACTCATTTTATAGGTCATATAAAATTATACATATACAGCGTCTTCAGGCAGGCATACGTTTTCGAACATATTCTTCCTCAACAGTTCTTTTGTAGGGATTTGATTTGTTTCAAGTTCGACCACCAATCAGTGTCATTTACGGAATGTTTAAAGATTTATTGAACCTTTTCAGGATTTCATCATGAGCTGACATTAGTTAGAGAACCATTGGAAAACCTACCAGGGAGTACTGGACAGCTGTTTCGTCCCAGTTTGGGACTCTTCAGCGGTACGCACCCACTGGGATTCGAACCCAGGACCTTCCGGTTACAAGGCGAGCTCGCATACCATTAAGCCACTGGGACCCGATCCAATGGTCCGTTCGCCTTGTAACCGGAAGGTCCTGGGTTCGAATCCCGGTGAGTGCGTACTGATGAAGAGTCCCAAACTGGGACGAAACAGCTGTCCAGTACTCCCTGGTAGGTTTTCCAATGGTTCTCTAACTAATGTCAGCTCATGATGAAATCCTGAAACCAATCAAATCCCTACAAACCAACACTTGAATTTATTGAACCATTGAAAACCAGAGAGTAATAAACCACTGGTTCCTATTGACTTCAAGCTGTTAAGTAGTACGTACCAATGACCCCACCAGGGATCAAACCAACCACCTTCTAGTTGGACGTCAAGCTCTGTGAACAATCAGACACATAGGACAGAATTCAGTTTCTTGTGAATTCTAACTTCTGTTAATCCACAGTAGCCTTAGAATCATTGGTCGTTGAATCCCAGTCCAAGAGGCTGAATGGTCAACGAACTTACCCTCGTGATTTGAAGGTAAAAGGTCTGGTCGTTGGTGAGGTCGTGCATGCGTACTGGTGAAGAGTACCAGACTAGGGTGGAGCCACATTCCATTGCTCTGATATATATAATTATCGTTTTCGATAATTTCCTCTTCTGGCTCTACAATTATATATGCATGTTTATATACATAGAATATTGTAGAACAGTAGTCAGTAAAAACATTGACAAGAATACGAATCTAAAACCAAAACGACCCAAGGTACCAACAGTTCTTAAGAAGCCCTTATTCTTACAAATGCAGTTCCTCGGGGACAGTATCAGCCAGATACTTACACAACACCTCAGAAATGCGGTTAAAAGACCGTTCCCTGCTGCTAAATTACACTGTGTCTTCAAAACCACCCACTCCTATTTTGCGTTCGGGAGTAGAAGATAAACTGCCTAATTTCGCCTCTTCCATGTGTATCTACCAATTTAACTACTCCTGTCGAACCAACTAACCGCTTAGGTCGTATAATTAGGCATGTTTCTCGGCGAATTTCCGAACATCATCCTGCGTGGTTAAGTAAAGGACTAATAAAATCCATTCGCAGAGCTATTCTATCTCATCTTGTGAATACTGAACACAAGATTAAATGTCAATGAGGCTTTCAAAGTCATTTACCGCATACCAACGAATCTCAATATCGCCTTAAGATTACGTCTACTACATATCACTGAGGCTGTGGGGATCCACATTAAGAAGCCTAATTTATGTGTTCAAAAGAAGCTAGTTCACCCATTATCCTTACCTTGGCCATCTAGGTTCGAGTGATCCTCAATTTTCTGCAGAATTTTCGATAATTTTAGTTGATATTCTATTTGATATTATATCTTTATTATTATTATTATTATTTAAGCATCTCTAATGGACTGTAATTCCATCGTGATCTCACTTTACAAATCGATATTATTTAAAAACAGTAATATTTTTATTGACTACTAATCTCGAATATTCTATGTGTATAAACATATGTATATAATTGTAGAGTCAGAAGAGGGAATTATCACTTTCAATGAGACTTTCTAAACTCCAGTGTTTCTACGATTATTGAATTGGAGTTAGTTGATTGACGTTGACCATCAGTAATATCCAAGATGCGAGTTTTGGTCTATTTGGGACTCACCATCAGGATAACGCTTTGACGTTTGCAGTTGTCATTTCTGTATTCTAGTCAGAGAGTGAACACTGTCAGCCTTAAAGAGAATCGGATATATCCTGCTAACAAATCTTATATAGGACAAACTGCCCAGCATATATTCCATTGTTAACAGGGACATGATTGGTTATGGGAACAGTCACGAGTTGACATCAATCGGAAAACCACTGGAAGACCTGGCAGTACTGGACAGCTAGCTGTTCCGTGTCAGTTTCTTGAGGCTGTCATCTAACCACCACAATGATTTGAACTCTGCGCCTTCCTGTAACAAGGCGATCTAGCTCATAGACCATTCATTAGCCAGTGGATCCTATCTAATGGCCAGCCCATGAATTCTAACTTCTATCGATTCGCGATATATATATATATATAGGGTTCAAATCAAAGTAATCGCGAGGTGTTTTTGTGCATCGGCATAGTAGAATAAACAGCTGAACATAATATCTGATATGATTATGGCATTCCCCTAAGCATGTAATACAAAATCACATAAAACCAAGTATCTGAGGATATTCAAAACGTAAGTGACTGCCATTCTTCTGTTTATTGGCTTAGGCAAGTTTGTTTAAGTGTAATTTATGTCAGGACAAAATATTTAGAGCGAACAAATGTGGTTTCCATAAATCCGTCTTCTTCAGGCTCTACAATTATAAATTCACTAATTTAAGCATACAATAGCCAGTCAACAAAGGCAAATTAGAATCATATCAAAAAGTGTATTGTGGAACAAGTATAAGTAAGATGGGATGGAACAATGGTCAGATAGTTTTTTAATATGCGTGGTCAATGAGAACATGGAAGAATATGAGATGAAGTAATTTAATTTAACGATGTATGTTTGTACATATATAAATATAGTCAACGGAAAATAAAGGTTTCAGGAGTGAGTGTAATCAGGGTGTGTGAGACAGTATGAAAATAAACCAACGAATGGGGCGGACTGGACATAAGTTCAAGGTTGAAAATAACAACAATAAGAATGATTGTAAAATAATAACGATGATATGGTGTAAAATGACAAGTACTATTGGTGAATGATTGTCAAATAATAATAAGGCATTAAGAAGACAAATTTCGCCGCTAGATGATATCGTCATTTCGTAGTTTATTTACAAACGCTTTACAACAAACATGGTTAACAATGATAAAATAAAAGTTCATGACAATTACTCACATAAATAAAAGTAAAAGTACATACTAATGATCAATCATATTTAAATAGGTCATGTAGTCCACGGCGAAGATCGAAGTCTATTGTTTTTTATACACACAGTTTAAGCTGTATGTGATTAATCCCCCATAGTGCTTCCATCACCTTCAATAACCAGTCTTGAATAAGAGTTATGTCAAATAATAGTGAAACAATCATTAATATTGATTTTGTGACCAGACATTAATAAGTGTTTTGCAATGGATGATGCTGGATTTCTATTAAGATTATTCGCGTTACGATTTTCGATATGATTTAGTAGCCATTTTGGAACATGTTCTTTTCGACGACATTGGAACATTCCATTGGTTCTACCTATATATGTGAGTGTCACCGCAGCTGCAGGTGAACTTGCAGATACAGTTTGAAGTAGAGTCCACAGAATTTCGTCCTTTAATCATAGGCAGGTACAGGGATCGAAAATGTTCGGCAAGTGAGAAAAAGAGATGTGGCGGTGTAGAATGTGCGTTTGATGGCTAACCGAAATCTTTGAGCTAGCTGTCAAGTGCCTAATCTGGTCACCCTTGAATGGTAGGTTAATAAAGATAGCTTTCTTTGGTACAGAAGCTGTCTTTTCAAGATGTGGTCTATACTTACCGTGACTACGAAATGATATCATCTCGCGAATTTTGTCTTCTTAATGCCTTATTCAAATTGTGAAAGGAATTTATAGCGTTAATTTATGTGTTGACTCATATATATATATATATATATATATATATATATATGTATATATCTGTTAAAATCAACTTTAATGTTATTACTTTCATATTTAGGTGGAATCAAAATTGATGGTCTACTCTTACAGCCGATTACTATTGTTGAACGATTACATAATATTCATGAAGTTTTCAGTGTGTTAAGACAGCTGAATGTAAAGCTTAATAATATTCAACCAGAAGGTAAATTTTAAGCATTTTTAGAATTATTTATTTATTATTGCTATTATGATTATTTTTGACGTGTTGTAACCTGACTAAGATAGGTGGTGTTTATTAAATTAGTTGTGTCCTCTGAGCTGACTGGTTGATGATTTAATTGAGAAGGCTTTCGTTGTGCTCCATCTAGACAATAACTTCAGAGCAGGATTTTGTATAAAATGAACTTATTTGCATTTTCCAGAAGTGGTGATATAACACTGAATCTCTTGACAACCATTTCCGAGACTGGTTGTTGATTCACGTCTCTGTCGATCATTTTTATTGACTCCAAGTCACCCTTGGACGACCAACTTGTCGCTTTCCTCTCGAGTTCCACTCGAGTAATGGCTTGTCTAGTGATGTCACTTTATGGTTTCCTCAATGGATCGCCAATCCATTTCCATTTCTTCCTGCCTATTTGTTTCACAATCGGTTTCTGCTGTGTTAGTTCGCTCCCAGAGATCCCTGTTGGTGATCTTTTCTGACCGGACATCTGATCTTGAGTATTCAGCGAAGACAACTGTTAATGAAAGTCTGTAGTTTGTTTGAGGTGCTCTTTATGACGCTCCAAGTCTTTGATCCGTATAGCAAGTAGCACTGACTTCACATTGGAGTTGAAAATTCGGATCCTATATTCGTTTTCATGCTGAGTGATGTTGGCCTCCACACAGACTTGAGAGTAATGAAAGCTTGTCTTGCTTTCCCGATCGGTTCTGGCTTTGATATCCTCGTCAATTCCGCGCGCCTGTAGTTGAAACGATGCTTCCCAGGTAGGTGGGCAGGTGAAGGAGGTTGTTTCTTTCAGGTTCCTCCCATTTAGGCTGGCTGATTGTTTTCTGTTGTTGTTGTTGCTGTTGGTGTTGGCCAGGAATCTTCACCACTTACCTCTGTATTATCTATGTTCACACGAAGTCGTATCTTCTCTGGATGCTTCTCTTATCGCCATCGAGTTGCTTTTCACTTGCATATCTTCCAGTTTGTGAGAAATTGGACATATATCATCATCGGGAAATTCCAGATCCTCCAAGTGTTTTGTGTGAGTCCATTTTATGCCTGTTTCCTCATTGTCCGCTGTTTGTCGCATTATCCACTCTACTACAATCAGGAAAATCATTGGCTATAGTAGGCAGCCTTGCCTTACTCCCGTCATCACTTCGAAGGCTTCCGTCAGTTTCCCGTTATGCATTAGTTGGCATGCAGCATTGTCGGTGCCACAGTGGTTAGGACTCTCGCCGACCATGCACATGGTCCTAGGTTCGATCCCCTGCCGACACACACCTGATATCTATGGTCGGCCTGCAGAATTTGGGCTACTGATATCCATGCTGAAAACTGCATACTTGTACCAAAAATACAGTGTGGAATCATGCTGTAAGTAAATAGTAAAAAAAAATAAAAAATAAAATCCTATAACTTTTGGATGAGATGTATAATTGTCGATGGCACCTCGTAGTAGCGAAGTAGTTGCCAAATGACCCCTCGATCGATGCTTTCGAAGACCTTTTCAAGGTCAATGAAGTTCAGATAGAGGGGTGACTGCTATTTTAAGCTTTGTTCAGTGATGATCCTCAGTGATCTATTTGAAACGGCATTAATATTCTAGCTGTTATTTCAGAGATAATTTTTATTTATAGTAGGATGAATTTCTTTGTAGTCTTTGATGATGGTTTCTTGTTTGTATATTGTGACTCGAGTTTAAACACTTGTTGAAAAAACTTGTGCTATATCCATTCTTTTTGAAAATAGTTAATAGGTATTTTTCCTCCGTTCTTTCCAACGCCAGAGTGTGTTACAGTGTTTGTTTGAACTCTTTTAAACAAGGTCTGAAAACAGTTTATTTTGTGGGTAGTCTGGTTATTGCTACTATATTTGAGTATTTAATCTGTGTGCGTTTTTTTCTATATATACTAGTGTTTCTAAATTACCTGTATTATTTATCTTCATTGAGACATCTAGGAATGGAATTTTGTTGTCTAATTCCTCTTTCCTTGTGAATACGATGTCTTCAGATATGCTGTTTAATAATTTGTGGATATATTCTAAATCATTTAGTTTATTTGCTGTGAGTGTATCATCAAGGCAATGTACTTAGGTGTTTGGTTTAACTACATGAAGCGCTGTTAATTCTTATCTTAGCATAACGCCTTCAGCTGGTAATCCTAATATGGGCTAGCCCATTAGGGTTCCTTTCATCTCTTTTCTTATGTTTGGTTAGTGGATTGGAAGTATTTTGTAAGATGGAATTCGATGAACTTCATCGAAGTTGAACGTTGTTTTTTTGTGTTCTCGTCTCTGTAGTGTAGTTGTTGCATAGTTTCTTTTGCTAGTTTTAGACCATTTGAAGTATATAATGCTGTGACATCATAGTGTAACCGCAGAAGGCAAGCTACCGAAGCCAAAGATAATTTTCATTGATCAAACCGCAGTTTATTCATGTATACAGTTCATATTCTTTAACCAGTCATTGAGCGTGTGATTTTGGTTTACATTAAATAACATGAATTAGAATGTTCGAATATACACAATATCTTTTATCAAAATGTACAATGAATGTCCACTTTTTTTATTTAATAAGGAACTATATAGACAAATTGACGGTGTGGTAATGGGGTCACCACTGGGACCCATTCTAGCCGACATTTTCCTTGCGAAACTAGAAAATGGGCCTCTGAAGAATGTTATTAGTGAACTCGAATTTTATTGCCAGTACATAGATGATACATTTTTGAATATGAAAAACGAGAAGGAAGCAAAGAGCATCCTGGATAAATTTAATGAGGTACATCCTGCAATAAATTTTACCATCGAGACACAAAAAGAATCTAGTATTCCATTTTTAGACATCCTTATGACCAGAAAAGAGGATGGCACAATAAGAAGAAGTGTCTATAGAAAACCTACAACAACGGGCCAGTACACACATTTTCTCAGTTTTGTGCCCTTGAAATACAAACGCAATTTGATAAAGTGCCTGGTTCACAGAGCAAGAGCGATTTGCTCGGACGAATGTCTAAATGATGAAGAAGTGAATAATATTAAACGGTTGCTAAGTGAGAATGGTCATCCTGAAACATTTATTGATAAGAATATGAATTTGAAACCAAAGCAGCCCAAGGTACCAATAGTTCCAAAAAAGGCTTTATTCTTACAGATGCAGTTCATTGGAGACAACATCAGCGAGATACTAACACAGCGCATTGAAAATGCGGTAAAACGAGCATTCGCTGCTTCTGAATTACGTTGTATCTTTAAAACCACTCCTCTTCTGCGTTCTGGAGTAAAAGACAAACTGCCTAATTTCACCTCTTCCATGTGTATCTACCAATTTAACTGCTCCTGTGGAGTGATTCAGTTAGTCACATAGGCCGCACAATTAGGGGTGTTTCTCGTCGAATTTCCGAACATCACCCTGCATAGTGGTTAAGCAAAGGACAATTAAAATCCATTCGTAGTGCTATTCTGTCTCATCTTGTGGAGACAGAACACAAGATTAACGTCAACCATGCCTTCGGGGTCATTTACCGCATACCAACGAATCTCAATTTCGCCTTAAGATTACGTCTACTACATATCACTGAGGCTGTGGGGATCCACATTAACAAGCCTAATTTATACATCCAAAAGAAGTTAATTCAAACACTGTCCTTATCTTGGCCATCCAGGTTTGAATAATCCTGAATTTTGTGGAATTTCTCTAATTTTAGTTGATATTCTATACGTTATTATATCTTTATTACTAATATAAATTAAGTATTTTTAGTGAACTGTAATTGCATTGATCATACTTTACAAATCGATATTATTTTAAAAAACACTAATATTGTTATTAACTACCAACCTTGAATATTCTGTGTTTATAAACATATATGTAATTGTAGAGCCAGAAGAGGAATTTATCGAAAAGGATATTCTTTGCTCGATTATTCTGTGTTTTATCGATATCCTATTGTCAATGCAGTATTTAACTGTGGGAATAATCTTTCGCCTCTAGCAACAAACAAATGTTCGAATAGATATATAGTATTCTATAATGTTAAATATTCAAAAATTTCAATTAAATAATTAATACGACCTGTTGTTCAAAAGGGTGAGCTCTCGTGGCCCAAGTGGTCTAGTGGATAACGCCTTGGCGTTTGAAACTATGCTCACTGGGTTCAAGCCTCGGTGGGAACATCATCACTCACTGAGAAATGCAGGTACATCCAGTTGACGAGTCCTAAATAGGATGAAATGCGCATCCTGGATTCCACTGCTACTCACCATCCACCAATTAAATTCCAATTACATGCCCAGACATCGTCGAAGCCTCTGCACAGGAAGTAAACATAGATGTCAACCTGAGACCGAACACTTCGGTCCAATCAAACGACGGGAAAATCTCAAATTCAATAAAAATAGATATTCTGTCGCTAATACTAAATTGAACTGTGGGAATATGTGAAAGTAGTATTCTATTGGTATACATTGTCTGATTCACACCACCACAATAGGACACCATTATTTTATTGTCATCCACCAGTTGTATATTTTTGATTTTATCTGAAAATTGGCGAATTGGTAGAATGGTTGCGATATGGCGGTGGTTAGAAACCTAAGCGGACGTCGAATGTTGTGGTGAGAGCAGGCTGTTAGCCAATCGGTAAACATTAATTTACGTCAATGCCTATGTCGCTAATATTGGTAGTCAGAAAATATGAACAAGACTGATTCAACAACCAATCACGGCAGACTTAACTTGGGTAAATACGATTCGCAGATATATGGCTTAACTTTCTGAGTAACCAGTAACAACCAGTACAGAATAACCTTGAGCAAGAAACAACCAATCAGGAGACTGTGTTGGTCTGTTTAAATAAGCTACAATAATGTACATGAAATATATATAAATAAGTGCTGATTTCCCTAATAAATGATCTGTTGCCTGGCCCTTGTCTTCTGTTGTTACAATGTGACTAGCTCTTCAGGGGAAGATAAGTTGGTACATAAACTTGAAGAAAATAAAACTAGGCTAACCGCACTGGTGCATAAGATCAAGCTGACATTAGCAGATTTCTAATGCGCTTCACCTAAGCTTTCTCATTCACTACGAGTCCGACATTTACATGCATCAAATTTGATCGGAAATCATGCCGACAAGAACCAATTCTGTGTACTGAATAAAATTCATATACCTCACAGCTGATTTATTGTCATTATCTTCATAACTTGTCTCATTTAAATTAGTACTAAATAAAGTCATCGACACTACAAATACGAATTCGCCATAAGTAGGCTACCTGATCTTGCAACGTGAAGTTTACTTCATTCCATAACGTTTTTTTCAGGTTGTGCTTGTCACTTCTGCATATACTTCGCAACAATCTTCAGACGACCCTCATGAGATTTTTCAATGCACTTAAAGATTAATACAATAACGAAGAGAATTAAATGAGTTTTATATTGTGAATAAGATGACATCAAGTGTCATACTTATCATGCTTGTTATTCTACTTAAAAGTTCCATATTACTAGTAAATATTTTGCGACAAAATATGCTTAGAACTTGGTGATGTTTACTGTCATTATGAAATGTTTTACTACTATTAGTCAAATTACTACAGGTTACACTCCTGTTTTGACAGTATTACTACTGATAACACTATTTTAAGTACTATGACAAATTTCACGACAACAACTACCACAGTTTGTTAAGCTGCATCAACTACTTTGACGACGACGATGACTACTCGCATCTTCACAGACGAAACTGAAATGAAATGAGATGCTCACTAGCGACCTGCCCTATTCAGGTAGGTAGTCTCCTGGGGTTCTAGTGAGAAGTCGTGACCAGTATGGCGCAGCCGGTTGGGTGTGAGGACAAATACTCCCCGAAGACATTGGCTAGCGGTCGCCCTATGTCATGAATTGGCAGAAGTTAGAATTCAAGGACCATTGGATCGGGTCCCAGTGGCTTAATGGTATACGAGCTTGCCTTGTAACCAGAAGGTCCTGGGTTCGAACCCCATAGTGTGGGTGCGTACTGTGAAGAGTCCCAAGAGACTAGGACGAAACAGCTGTCCAGTACTCCCAGGTTTTCCAATGATTCTCTAACTGATGTCAGCTCATGATGAAATCCTGAAATGATAGTATTCCCGGGTATAGTTTATTACCTCAGTGATTTCAATGAAATTTTTTATATATGGTTTTGGTGTATTTTAATATTCATTCGACAACATTCTTAAATTTAGATCTTTGGATATTTGATCTTAGTGTTTTTTAAAAGTGTAAAAGTGTATCTAAAATATTTTGCAACAACTCATCATATTTGAAGACACAAGGAGATGGCGTAGTTAAATCGTAGGGAAACTTTGTTTTCTATCACAGATAAAACACTGAAGAAACTCCACTTCATATTGCCTACAATTTGGCTTTTACTCATGTTTACCGTCAAATGACCTATGGTAAACAGTAATCGATAATACACGAAAAAGAAACTAAGACAATCTGTGACCATAAAAAATGAAGAAATACAGGTTGCATTACAGGTGGTTATCATGGTGGCTCAGTGGTCTAGTTGACAGGACTCTAGCGTTTAAAGTGGTGATTACTTAGTCCGATTGTCAATTACAGCACCACCAATCAACTGGGAGGCGAGTACATCCATCTGATAAGTCTTGAATGGGTCGAAACGTGTGTCATGGATTCTGCTCTTAACCACCACTAAATAAGTTATTTATAATAATCAGTGCAATTTCGAAAAATTCCGATATATATTACGTATGAATATAATCCTTAAAATATTATTGATTATTCATGAAAAATACCCATTTGAACATTAATAGAGAGAAGACAAGGAGTTCAGTGAAGAGTCTCTTTTCAGAGAATTCATTTTCACACCTGTTCAATCGTATATATATATATATATATGCTTATGCTGTATGTGTGTTTACCTTAAATTTGTCAAACGAAAATATAATTAGTAAGATTTTGGTGGAACTACGTAACACAGAAAGCGTTCGGAGGAATTGGATGTTAATATAAGAGGATATTTTTCCAGGTGACCGGAGTAGACCACTGACTCCTGCTGACACTTTCGTGAGTCCACTCCCAGTGTAACAACAGAAGACAAGGGCCAGGCAACAGACCGTTTATTAAAGAAACTAGCCAACACTTGAATATCAATGAGATGCTCACTAGCGACTTGCCATATTCAGGTAGGTAGCTGTCTGGGGTTCTAGTTGGAAGTCATGACCAGTAGGGTGCAGCACGTCGGGTATGAGGACAAATACTCCCCGAAGACATTGGCTGGGATCTAAGTATGTCATGGATTGGCAGAAGTTGAAATTCGTGGGCTGGGCATCGGATCGGGTGCCAGTGGCTTAATGGTATACGAGCTCGCCTAGTAACCAGAAGATCCTGGGTTCGAACCCTGACGGTGGGTGCGTACTGATGAAGAGTCCCAAACTAGGACAAAACAGCAGCTGTCCAGTACTCTCAGGCCTCACCCTGAGAAGGGAGTTGTTACATAAATATTTAGGTCACAGAGGAGCGACTTTTTGGGTTGCTTCCTTTAGAATCACAACATCAATGGCAAAAAAATCACAACAGGAAAGCATGTGGGCAGACGTCAAGTCTGGTGGAAACGTTCACAGAGGCCTGAACATAATGGAGACGTGCGGCTGAAGGCCTATGTTCCTCTAGGAGTTAAAGGAAACAGTAATAAAAAGAGGGCTGCAACAGAAGTGATGAGTTGTCACAAACGATTGTCAGAAAAGAGTCACGTAATAACATGAAGAGTTGGATGAAAGAGTTGTGCTCAGCACGTACACGGAAACAAAATAAAATAAGGAATTACGCCCTGAGTTCGAATCCCGGTGGGTGCGTACTGATGAAGAGTCCCAAACTAGGACGAAACAGATGTACAGTACTCCTTGGCAGGTTTTCCAATGGTTCTCTAACTGATGTCAGCTCATGATTAAATCCTCCGTGCAATTACGTAGGAGTTTTAAGTATTTAGAAAACATAAACAAAAGTTAAGTCGAATCAACGGAGTTGTTACCATGATGGTAGAAGTGGCTGAATAATTTTCTTTTGTATGCATACTTCTGGTTCTTCTAACTGCATAACCAGGGCTTCTGGAATAGAAAGATAACGGAAACAAAATATCTTGGTAGGGTATTCTTCACTCTGTGAAAATGAATTCGTCGCCGAAAACAGACTCTTCGCTGAACTACTGGTCTTATCTCTATTAGTGATAAGGTTAATAATATGAATATTAGAGGAGTGTAAATTTGTTCACTATCCTTCCTAACCTTGAGACTTCAAATATTTCACTTGCTTCCAGCCACTTGTCATTTGTTTATTTACCTTGATATAAATAAAGGAGTAATGAATGTTATTCACAGTAGAGCGATGATTATCCACAGATAACAAGGACAGACTCGAACAGGCGACTTAAGTCTTACATTTCAACTGCTTTATCCCCTAAGATTTTGAAATTCGTCTAAAAATTCAGCCTTTCACCCGAAGTGACGATCAGGTGTTATTTCATTTAAACACATATGATCTTCATAATTGAATATTGAAAACATTTATCAATTTGCTTTTATTCTTCAATTTCACATGAATCCTCCCTCAACCCATCCCCACCGTAATCATCATCGTCGTGGAACAGAAATAATGGGTGGTGATAAAGATACAGTACTTCAGTTGCTTATCGCTATTAATGACCATTTTACACCGAAAGCGAAAAGTCGTAAACACTTTCTTAATCATGAAATTGATTATAAAATTGATTCAAGTGGGGTAAGTTAATCTTCTGCAAGTCTGTGTGGTTTGTCTATCTCATTCTCTATGCTTGTCTAAATAATTTAGACGTTTATTTGATTAGACAACATTTACAGAGTTCACTAATATAATATTTATAATAATATAATATTTAGTAGTGTGAAATATCCTCATATTCTTTCCCAATATTCTTTTCAATAATATAATGTTTATCGTGGTTAGAATAATGATAGCCAGTTATGCTGCGGAAATATATTCAACGTAGACTAGCAGGTTAGTTATAGGGTGTCAAATAAAACAGTCGTATTTGTGTGACAAACGTCGTACTAGGCTGAAATCGATTACAAAATATTTCGGTAAAATGGGAGACAATGGTGGTGATTAATCATAATAGATTCGTAGAATGTGAGATAGTTAGTTCAAGGTTATAAAAGGTGTCAGGTGAGTGAGTGGCTAGTACAAAGTGGTCTAAGTTAAACAGGAGATAGTAAGACTGCAATGAGCGGTTCATACTGAATAAGGAATATGTGAAATGAAACAGGTGGAGGCATATATTGAGAAAAGAGATAATAGTAAGTCCGGATAATATAAATGAAAAATTCGATAGTAATGAGGGATTGTTTGTATGAAGGGTATCAATTATGGCGAATAATAATAATTGTAATAATAAGCAAAGGAAAAAAACCAAGAGGGTTAAGGGGAAGGAGCACTCTTGGTGAGAAGAAGAATCATCAATCCAAGGTTGGTCACGGTAGGAGCAAAGTCTGGACGTCTTCTTTTTGGATACAAAGAACTGGTTTAGTTGCTCTTATTACAACAGCTTCAGCTATGTGTAGGAAACCTAAGCGAACTGTACGTGATAGCGACTTCGGAATTCGGTATATAACTCTCAAAGCTGTGTTGACATCGATACGATGTCCAGTATCGACCAAGTGCGACAGGATCGAACTGTTTATGCACTTAATTCCCCCCACCGCTTGCTGAACTAAGCTGGTAAATGTTCTCGAACCCGTGGACAATCCCACCTAATCGTGCGCTCTATATAACTTAAACTACAGGAACAGTTGAAATGGTATATGCATGAAGAAGAGCTAAGGTTAGGTAAGAAATCTTTCAGTTTCTGGGTGAACATTAAATTGCTACTGAAGGATAGACACAGATGTGCAGACTAGAAAGTTTTCTTGATCGCCCTGGTTAAACGTTGCGATAGAATCTCCACAGGAATATCTGTCCTGAATTGTAGACGTAAAATCACAGGCTCTTTCTCCACCGTTACCAGTTCATGTTTACGACTATTCTAACCTATGTTGGCTTTACTGAACATCTCCGGATATCCATTCTCGCTTAGAATGTCTCGGATCACCTTTAGTTCTTTCTCTACACAGTCTTTGTCACAAATAGATCTCGCTCTGAATGCTAAGCACCTGATCAGATTACGTTTGTATTTCATCGGTACGAAGCCAAGGAAGTGTGTATACTGAACATTGTTCTCTAGCTATCCAAATATGGAAGAAAATGTACAGTGTAAAATGTGTGCATTTTATTTTGACTGTTATCTTCATTTGGAGATCGCCCAAAACATACTAGATAGTCGTATGTGATCGGCTACAGGAAGACTTGACTAAACGTAGGTTTCGTGCTAGTTGTCACTCACCGGCCAGCAAGGCGTATCCGTAACTTCGAAGGAACTCATGTCCATTCCGAGATTCTAAACTGCGTCACTCAGTGTTGTAATCAGAGACGGTAGCACTGAGCCATTTTGGCTGGCGACTAACCTCCTGTAGGATTTTATTGGATCCATAGTATTAACAAGATAAGGACATACCTCTTTTTTACCCTACTCAGCAGACGTTTTTCATGGACACTGTAGTTTAAGGAGAGGAGAAACAGGCAGACTGTAATGGCTAAATCAGTTACAAAATGTAACACAAAAAGAAAGTGATTCATTATCATTAGTCTGGAAGAACACTCTAGAAGTTTTATCGCTTGACTTAACGAAAAAACAACAACTAATAGACTAATAACATACTGAGGAAGAGGGATGACGGAAAACTATACTAGTAAGCATTTGGGAGCGACTATAAATCATTTATATGAGCTAAATAAGATCAGTAGGTCAAGAAGGATCAATTGTCAAATAATAATGGGAATGATTAAAACAAAAGCCAATAAACTCAGAATATGTATATAACTATGTAGTAAGTGAAAAAGTTGTCATCCTGGCAAACTAGGAATAGGAAAAAGGTTTGGCTTGAGCAGCATGATGGTAATAGTTGTGTGGTGATAGCTGTCTGTTAGTCAAAATTGGTAAACAGCAATTTACGTCAGTGCTTACGTCTCAATCTTGATCATGAGAAAAGAACAAGAACAAAGACTAAATCAACAACCAATAACAGGAGACTTGCGTGAGCGGATATGATTCGCAGTTACGTGGTCTGATCATCGAAGAAACGGCCACAACGAGATGACAGAATAACCTTCAGCAGGCAAACAACCAATCAGAAGACGTTGCTGCTTGGCTAACAATAGCGAATAATAATGTACATAAAAATCTATGAATATGTGTTGATTTTATCAATAGACGATCTATTGCCTGGCCCTTGTCTCCTGTCGTTACAGTTGTAGCAAACTGAAGTGGAATCAGATTTAATAAAGTATAATTATATTTCAATAGTTTACACACAAAGATAAGTTTTGTTATTGGTAATATTTCGAGCAAAATTACCAATAACAAAACTTATCATTGTGTGTAAACTATTGAAATATAATTATACTTTATTTGATCTAATCCATAATGCTGAAACTTTTTACTGATAGGAATCAGATTTCTTTATTTGATTATCCACTTTGTGTTCTGATTCGGCAAGATGACGGGCAATAGCACTGGTGAGGTATTGGGAATCTTTCATTCTCAGGATTTTTGGAATGTGTTCGGGAAAGGCAATGGATGCCCCACCTTTTTACCCTTCTAATATACTTACTGTGGCTTGACATGTGAATTTGTAAACACATTTAGAAATGACTTCAGATAGCAACTTGTCTACTTCCTATCGATGAAGTGAACAACTATTGTGGTGAGAGCTGGCTGCTCGACAAATTGGTAGGAAGTAATTTACGACAGTGTTTACATCTTCTATATTGGCCGTGAGAAAATTATGAACAAAGACTGATTCAACAACCAACCACAGCAGAATTTGCATAGGCGGATACAGTTAGCATATAGATGATCTGACATTCAAGAAACAGCCGAAAAGAGATGTAAGGTTATTTTTCTGTGAGAAACAACCAATCGGAATACTGTGTTTGTCTACTAAAAATAATCTATAATAATGCACATGAAAATCTACAGATATGTGTTGATTTCTTTAATAAACGATCTGTTTTCTGGCCCTTGTCCTCTGTTGTTGCACCATTGCTGTAAATACTTCTTGCTTTTACAAAAATAATCAAGGAAGAACATGTGGCATGGATATCCCACTAATTCACTAACAGATGAATAAGGATTTTTCTAGATTACATACGAGCAATCTTTCCTTTGCATTCTTAAACGAGCTCTACTAATACACCTATAAATTGTCAAGAAGATCAAATGATTATATCGACTGGTCTCTCACGATTAACCAGCATCGTGTGTGTAGTCTTTAATACTAGTGCCAAATGAACTCATTCAGCCACTTTTGCCAAATTCAACCAAGCCTGGAAACTCACTGTCATGGTGTAGTCTTTGAAGGCAGCTGGAACTTAGCCCTGTACCCAAACTTCTTCATTACTACCACTGAACATTAAAGCATATCTGCAAAATTGAAGAAATTAGTGTCCTCTCCTCGCCTGAATAAATTTCTGAGTGGTATTTCACTTTCCCTAGTGAAGACACAAGTTCATCCAACTGAATTTTCAGCATGATCACTCATTTATATGATATTACACTGATTAATACTGCGTTATATTTTGTTTCAATCCACAATATTGGTAATTCACAACACTGTCTTGTCAACCTTCACCTACAAGAAGCATAATAATTCCCACATTACCCTCTGAAACTATACACTCGCCCGATAGTGAAGTGGTATTTTGTGGTGTTGCAATTCTATCACTGCTTAAATAGAAATTACAAAAGGATTTTCGATGGAAGTGAGTAAGAGTGATCTAGTTTAATGTCACACAAACTGAAAAACTTACAAGCGGAAACCAAAACCTGGTGGAAGAGGCAGATAGCGAAGACAGGACTCCAGGTAAACCTAGAGAAGATGGAGGTGATTAAGGTAACCAACCGACCAACCTACAGCAACAGCAACAACAACCAGCACCATTTACCATCAACAGGAGGAATTTGACAGAGGTTACTTCCTTCACCGGTGTTTCAAACACAGACAGTTGGCATGAATGCAGATGTCAAGGCCAGACAGGGTTGGAAAGGCAAGATATGCCTTCATCAACCTGAAATCAGTTTGGAAACCTTCCACAATCAGTGTAAAGAATAAGACTCGGATTTTAAACGCAAATGTGAAGTCAGTCAGCTCCTCTATATGGATCAGAAATTCGGCACTCCAAAAAAGCATTTGCAATAGGTTGCAGACTTTTATCAACAGCTGTTCACTTCTCTGGATCCATAGTGAAAATCTGAGTGCCGGCTAGAGAGAATTAGCGGCAAAAAACTCCGGAAACATACCAACCAAGAGTCGATTGCTCAACATGTAGGTAGAAGAAAATGGAGATAAATTGGAAATATTATGAGGAGGCTGTCGAATGATATGGCATACAATGCAGTTCATCGTCTGACTGGAATCCTAATGGGAAGCGACGAGTGAGTCGTCACTTCGAGAATGACGTGGAAGAGATCGTGTAAGGAGGGGATGACGGGTTCTGGGCAATCATACAGCTTGCCAACTAAAGAGGCCGGGAAAAAATAGAAGAAAGCGGGGGCGTGTTGTTGAAGCTGTATGCTGCACTCGGAAGCCAAGGGAATAATGATAAGTAACAATGATCTAGAAGACAAGAACATTATTTTGTATAGCCAGCGTCCTTGTCTGCCTCCTTCGCATATATATTCTTTTCAAATGTCTACTAACTACTAACAACTACTTTAAAGTAGTTAACTGCGTTTAAATAAAATAACTGTGTATACAATATGTCCACATTGTCAATTTAGTTTGGTAAACTTGAACGAAACAAAAACAACATTTTCAGCTAAAAAAACATGACGTCATTATATTTGTTCGGTTCTTGTCAGATTCATATAACCACAAAACAGTCATCATCAGGATGCGGAACATTCAAATACTTCAGTTATACTGATCATAAAGATGACGGATATTTATATCACTTGATAAAGTTGCATAATGTAGAAGAATAAAGCCGTTGTTAAATTCGTTGGTATGTGTAGAAATAATTAAGAAATATTCTGAATATACGAATGAATGTCACATGTTGGATAAAAGCTTAAAGAATATACTTACGTAAAAGGCCAAGTAATTTAGCTGGAAAGTCGTCAAAAAGATGTCTACTCAACAATATGTATAACTTTACACAGAAGTGCATCACTTCAAATTTCCACACTCCAGTTAGCACACACAGGAAGATAGAAGAGGGAGAGAATAACAACACTGGTAAACTTGATGGTTTCAACGGAAATGGCAGACTATAAAGATTGAATGCATCTGCATCACTGAGATCAATTCGTAGCCATTTCATCAACAGTTTCCAGTCATTGGTTCTTGGAATCCTAAGGAATCTAGCCAGGCAGTTTATACATCCCCAAATGGCTCAAACTAACTATCATTGTATTCACAAATTTATTTCAGGTTTTTGTTCGACTTCCAGCTACTCTTTTCCAACCTAATCCTGTGCCAGCTAAGTTTGTCTGCCATGGACAACACATGCCTTAGTCATCTCAATCAATGTAGATTCACCACTTCATCGGTTGACTCCCCTTGCTTACCTATCACTCTTTGCCTAACCTCAATACTTCTCGGCTGGTAAACGTTTGTTAGAAGATGATATTCGATTAAAAAATATTCTTTCACAGTCAGTAAAACAGATCCACGAATCTATTTGCATCCGCAGATCAATGGAAGAATGCTCACTATACACACATGTGGTCCAAGTTCGATTCTCGATCGTTGCAAGCGTAAACCTCAACTAGAAGTTGGTTAGGGTTATGCAGTACCATCATGGCTAACGAAAAACTTCAGATCTCAATCCTTGAAGTCCTATGTATTCCACTGGGATTGCAAGAAATAAATAAAGGTTTTGTGAAGAAACACCGATGACATACAGTTCTTAGAATTCTTCGTAGTTTAGGAAGATGAGGCAGCGTGATAACGTTTACCTTGACAAATAAGTAAGCGGTTTTAAAATAGAAGTTATCAGGACGGGTGGGCTTCTTTTTTGTTAGCTGTGGAGTCATGATTTAAACATGCAGTGACGACAACAATCTGACTGGACATTTTACTTGGTTTATTTTTAGCTTGAATTCCTGAGGATTTGGATGACATGCAACCATTCAGATTCGCCTACTTATTTATAGCTTGAATTCTTAAGATTTTGTAACGTATACACATATATAAACGTAGTTGTCACAGTTAAATTTGATACTTCAACCCTTGCATGACGAGTTAGTAAAGCACAGCTCAAGGATACCTTTCAATTTGTTGATAAGATCAAAAACTTGAACGCGACTGGCAAATATATGGCATCACTTGATGTTTCATCTCTATTCACTAATGTGCCTCTAGTGAAAACCATCGATTATATCTGCGAACAGATTATAGAAAAGAAATTGTGCACTGATATTCCTATCAGTAATCTACTTGTTGAATATACAACGAATGTTCAGTTCTTATTTAGTAATGATATATACAGACAGGTTGATGGAGTAGCCATGGGATCCCTACTGGAACCTATTTTCGCGAATATATTTCTAGCAAACCTACAAAATAGTCCGTTGAAAGAGGAAATAGCGAAAATGGAAATGTATTGTCGTTACATGGATGACACTTTTGTAGTGTACGATGAAGGGTTAAATAGTGATTTGATTTTGAACAACTTCGATAATGCTAACCCAGCGGTACATTTCACCTACGAAGGAGAATACAACGACTCTTTACACTTCCTCGATGTCCTACTAACGAGAAGAGAGGATGGTTCCATCAAAAGAACCATATTTAGAAAGCTACAGACCAAATCTCAGTATACACACTTTCTTAGCTTCGTACCGATAAAATACAAACGTAATCTAATCAGGTGCTTAGCATTCAGAGCGAGATATATTTGTGACAAAGACTGTGTAGAGAAAGAACTAAAGGTGATCCGAGACATTCTAAGCGAGAACGGATATCCAGGGAAGTTCATTGAAGCCAACACAGATTACGATTGTCGAAAACTTGAACTGGTAACGGTGGAGAAAAAGCCTCTGTTTTTACTTCTCCAATTCAAGGGAGATAATCCTGTGGAGATTCCATCGCAACGTTTAACCAGGGCGATCAAGAAAACTTTCTAGTCTGCACGTCTGTGTCTATCTTTCAGTAGCAATCTAATGTTCACCCAGAAACTCAAAGATATCTTACCTAACCTTAGCTCTTCTTCATGCATATACCATTTCAACTGTTCCTGTAGTTTAAGTTATATAGAGCGCACGATTAGGTGGGATTGTCCACGGGTTTGAGAACATTTACCAGCTTAGTTCAGCAAGCGGTGGAGGGAATTAAGTGCATGGAAAGCTCGATGCTGTCACACTTGGTCGATACTGGACATCGCATCGATGTCAACACAGCTTTGAGAGTTATATACAGAATTCCGAGGTCGTTATCACGTACAGCTTGCTTAGGTCTCTTACACATAGCAATAAGATCGACTAAACCGGAACTTTGTATCCAAAATAAACACGTCCAAACGCTGTCCTCACGGTGGCCAACCTTGGATTGATGATTCTTCTTCTCACCAACAGTTCTCCTTCCCCTTAACCCACTGGGTTTTTTCTTCTTTTGCCTATTATTACAATTATGATTATTATTCGCTATAATTTATACCCTTCACGCAAACATTCCCTCATTACTATCGAATTTTTCATTTATAATATCCGGACTTATGATTAGTGATATTATCTCTTTTCTCAATATATGCCTCACCTGTTTCATTTCACATATTCGTTATTTCATTATGAACCTCTCATTCCAGTCTTACTATCTCCTGTTTAACTCAGACCACTTTGTACTAGCCACTCACTCACCTGACACTTTTTCTATAACCTTGAACTGATTTGTCAGTTTTCTTATCCCACACTCTACAATTCTATTATGATTAATCACCACCATTGTCTCCCATTTTACTGAAATATTTTGTAATCGATTTCAGCCTAGCACGTTTGACACCCCATAACTAATCTGTTATTCTACGTCGAAAAATGTACCCACCGCATAACTGGCTATCATTATTGTAACGACCACAAAAATTATATTTTTGGTAATTGTAAGAGCCTGAAGAGGAGAAATTATTGAAACGAATATTCTTCGTTCAGATTGACAGTTAAATCTGTCCTCTGTGTCTCCCTCGGTGTGGGGATCACTTTCAAGTGATTAGTTGGTCAGGTTAAACGACAACCACAAACCAGTATAACTCCATCATAACAGTAATATAGACAATGGTAGAGAATTCCTATTTCCGATAAGAACTGCGAATATTTTTTCGCGTTTTTGAATATTTTCTGAAGGTGATGATGAAGATGAACTGGCTATTAGTGACAAGATCTGATATTTAATTTCTGATTTTGTCAAAGTGTAGAATCCTTAAAAAGCTTGTTAACCATTGAAGCAGTTTATCACTAAGTTTATTACTAGTATTATCTGTTTATATGAGTTTGACCACGGATTCATAACAGCTAGAGAACCAGCACTGGAGTACCGGAGAGCTGTTTCATCCTAGTCTGGGAATCTGTTATGTACTTGTCGCTAAATTATTGTTATGTACTGGTCGAGAATTCAATAGTCCTGACGCAAGAAAGACGGAAATCAGAAGACTACTAGGTTTGCGATGATACTTCTATTTTCCAAACACAAGGAGAAGCAATAAGTGGTATCACACCAAAGAAGTGTCACACAAGATTGTGACAGCGAAATATATATGAATGTCCAGACAAGTGTGTGAACAAATCAATAGACAGTCTTAACATGAATGGCTAATTATAATGGAGTGTCGATCCATATATACATAGCAAAATATAGCAGACATGTCAACAACCACACATATAATATGGATATATGTCACCAAGCAACGAACTGTCAACAAACACTCATACTATATATAATATAAGGGTAATATACATTGTTACAGGAGACAGGTTCATCAAAGTGAAAATGGTCACAGACTAAGCGAGCAAACGGAAAGAGAGATCACCATACACACATATATATATGTGTGGATACATATCAGAATCATCATCAGTACACACCAAATGGGGTTCGAACCCAGGGTCTTCCGCGAGCTTGAACCCCAGTGAGTGCGTACTGCCGATGATTCGTAGACTAGGATGAAACAACTGGCTGTTCAGTACTCCCTGTGGCTGGTTTTCAGTAATTCTCTAACTGATGTCAATCCATGATCAAACTCATAAAATCAAATCTAATCCTTACAAACAGAAGTCTTGAAAAAAAACTAGTATTATCATTATTTTGTAATAATAAATGAATTGATTTTTAATTTTGATAAAAAAAATATTCACATCATTCCTATTAGCGTACATCAGTATGGAGTGCGTTAAATGATTCAACAGCCTGTACTACACCAATCAGTCGATCACAGTTCATCACTACTACTGCTACTACGACGACGACGACAACCAATACTCCTATGACTACTGCGACTACAAATGGTCATAATCAGAATGGAATAATCATGAGTTATCAGTCACAAAAGAATTTACTGCATTCAACAAATGGTATCAACACTCTACACACCAGTGATACACACTGGTCAGATTCAAATTATAATCTTGCCGATACGCATAAGACATCTTCTTATCAGTCGTTGGTTGTAACACCAACACCATCAGAAATGTCTGAATCAATAAATCCCAGGGCGCGGTGTACAGTGTACAGGACGAAATCAGATCCATTATCGCCTAGATCTTCATTGGTGAAGAGGTAGGCTTTTACCACATTTTGTGCAGTATTTAGTGTAGACATTTATTAAATTATTATTATTATTGTTATTCCTTTGCGGTACATTAAGTGCACGTCTCCATTCCATTCAGTTGCCTGCCATGATTTGTCATCGCTCTTCACATGATCTTATCCGCGTCATCTCCGAACACTCAACTTCTCACAACCCATTAGACAGCCTAATGAATAATGCCATTAGAAGGATTCTTTAAGTTAACCATAAGCCCAACACATCGTGGGCATGTGACTCTTTGGCTTAAGCAGTCAATTTCCAGCTAATAAGTGCCGCATCTAGTTGTTACCTGGGCAACCCTAAAACGATGAGTTTGGCGAATAGTCAGGTACTAGGTAAACAAGTTAGAAATAACCATCCTTCTATATACTTTTGGGGTAATAAACTTTTGAATAGTTAATCTCCAAGTTTCCCTATTGCTTATACTGTTTATTGAACAAAGACAGCTGTTGACTGAAGCCTAGTATAGCTTGCTGTAAACGCTTTTAAGGGATAGATTAGTACAGTGCCTAGTTTACTTTTAGGAAAGACAATTATTGATTTTCAATGAATATATATATATATATTATTACAGCGTTCAATGCCTACAATTTAGTGTCTTTAATTTCACTGAGTGTTCTAGATTAATACAAAGTCTACGCTAAGTGTCTTTTTAGACATTTTTCAGAAAATACTCTTTTAAACAAGATCATATTCTCTTATCCAGATAATCGATAATTAGTGAAATCAATATATACTTCTAATTTCTATTGGTTGGCTGACTTATATCTGACTGTAGGTCAAATCATGTGACCTGTCTAGATATCTACCTACCTGTTCGACATCCAAATAATTAACAATTCTGGGGCAAAATGATTAATGATAGGTTATGCATTTCTTTGAATGATAAGACCGTGATTTCCTCTACTAATTTACTGCTTATAATATAAAGTTCACCATAAAATTAATTACAGGGGAATTCTAGCTCTCGTGAGTATGTATTTCTGATAAGACGTAAACTAGAATTACCAAAGTAAAAACTGTCCAGCTTCGAAGTACTACCTTTTTAGAGATTTGTTTTTTCAAAAGAATGGATACTGAACAAAGAGTACTCTTTTCGATAACCTCTTCATCATCAGGCTCTACATTTATACATACGTCATAGTGAATGCATGAATAAGTGTTATGAATACAACATTATTGCTGTTTAAATAACATCAAATCAATAATATTGATAGATTACAGCTCAATAGCACCAACATAAAATAAGCTGGATGTCAGAAGAATTAGGAAGGATAATATTACAAATTCATGAGATTATAGTTTCTACTGAAGGCCAGGGCAATAGTAGTAGGGGCTGGCTGAACTTGCTTCTTTTGGATACAGAGCGCTGGTTGTTTGAGGCGAATTGCAATAGCCTCTGAAGTTTGGAGCCTGTGGTGCTTCGATGTTTTTGGCAATTTACTTGGCACCCGGTATAGTATAATACAGAGAAGGATTCATCTACGCTGGCTTTGTGGCCGGCCGGTTTGCACCAGATGTTCCAATATCGAGCTGGTAATAGTTTTCACTACACCCTTACTTACTTAGCCATGCTGGGAGATGTTCTCGAGCAAGTACGAAAAATCAAGTTCCTAGAGCAATGGCCAATATAACTCGCGTCACCACAGGTGCAGTTGAATAGGTTGGTAGATACAATTTGAAGTGACCAACTAGTCTAGGTACTTCATTTTTCACTCGAGTAATCACCATCGGTCGTGTAGAGAATCATATGTGTATTTCGCCAACAGTAAAAGTTCTTTGAACTGATTTTCTTAATTTCTTCACAATTATCTCGCTTGGTATATCGCCTTCGAATTGCAGTCGTATATAAAGAGGCTTATTGTTTACAGATAGTGAGTGGTCCTTTTCCGCCGCTCTCTTTGTCATGTGTTTCTTGATCAATTTGTCGAGGTAGCCATTTTCGACCGAAGTATCATATACAATGCTTAATTCATCTTCAATTAATTCTTCTGAGCATATAGCTCTAACTCTGTGGCTGAGGGTCTTCACTAAATTTCTTTTATACTTGATTGGAACGAAGCTGTGAAATGTGTACATATTGTACTGTCCAAGTGTTCTTTCTATGCAAATTTCTTTTTATGTTACCATCTAGTCTCCTTGTAAGGAGGACATCCAGGAAGGCAACTCATTCTGTCTTGGGATTCCTCTTCGCATGTGAATTTCATAGCCGAATGTGCTTCATTGAATTCAGTAGTTATTGTACTCTTATCAGAACCATTATCACACAGAATAAAGTTATCATCCATATATCGGCAATAAAATGAGAGCTTACTGATAAGGTTGTTCAGAGATCCATTTCCTAGCTTACCTAGAAAGAAATCAGCCAGAATGGGACTCAATGAGGAGCCCATCGCCACCCCGTCAACTTGTCTGTAAAGCATGCCGTTAAATTTGAAATTTACATTCATGGAACATCTTAATATCAATTATTTTAGGATCTCAGTATGTATGCCAATATTTATCAACTGCTTGTCCACTTGTTCACCTATGTAATTAACTGTTTCTATTACGGGTACATTTGTGAATAACGATGTTATGTCCAGAGATATCATGGTTTTGTCCTTGATATTAATATCTTTTATTTTGTCTGCGAATTCAAATACATCTTTGACGCTACATCTCACTATCTTCTCATGCAAAGGTTTGAGAATATTTCCCAACCGTCTAGCTAGAGCATGGTAGGGCTAATTTTGCATATCAAGTATTGGTCTTAATGGTACCCCTGGTTTATGCACTTTAGGTAGGTCATACAATCTTGGCGTATACGTGCCCGATGATCTGATTTCTTCATATAAACTTTCAGAAAATATCTGCTCCTCCCTTAATTTCTTCAAACGTCTGGTTAATTCATTCTCTATTTTGTTATTGAAATCTTTCTTCTCCTCAAATTTTTGAAACTTCTGTGCGTCCTTTAATATATCATTCATCTTTGTTTTCGTTTGATTGGTTGGAGGATTTCATCATGAACTGACATGAGTTAGAGAACCGCTGGGAAATCACCAAGCAGTACTGGATAGCTGTTTCACCAAAGTTTGGGACTCTTCATCAGTACGCACCCACTGGGTTTCGAAACCAAGACCTTCTGGTTACAAGGTGAGCTAGGTCGTAGACCATTCACCAGCCACTGAGACACAATCCGATGGTCAGCCCGTGAATTCATACGTCTGCCAATTCACAACACAGCGTGACTATTTCACAATGTCTTCTTCCATGAGTAACTGCCCTCACCAATGGCTTAATGGTCTACGAGATCGCCTTATAACCAGAAGACCTTATGTTCGAACCCCTGTGGGTGCATTCTGAGAGTACTTAACCTGGATGAAACATCTGTCCAGTACTGCTTGGTGGGTTCCCAATGGTTCTCTAACTGATGGCAGCTCATGATGAAATCCTCCAAAAGCTGCCCAGTATTCGTGGATTTTCAGTCATTTTCTAACTCTTTAATCGATTCTTGATGAAATGTACGCTGAAATTAGACCAGAAATCCCTAATAATTGACATAGCGCTGAGATGTATTTAAAATGCTAGACACTTTTATTTCGATAAGTTCCATCTCTCAAAGTACTTGAATTACTTGCCTAGTATGTTAGTCTTTTTCTAAATTTTGATTTTCTGATTACTAAGTCGGTTACATACTACTTATCGACTGAGATGATTAAGTGTATATTACTGGTGTCAAACAGTAGTGGTTGTTATCTAGATCAGTTGGCTTCAACTGATTTGGTTCTCTGACTTCAGTCAAACTGGATAGATACACCACCGATGATATTAGTCGAAAACGCGTGAAACGGAGATTCGGGGAACAACTTCTGTTCCCGAAGGAAACGGTGGAGAAATTTAACCTTTTCGAATTGTGTAAATTGCAATTTGAGAATTTCATGAACTATTATTTATAAATTTACGGTCAAGGATAAAGGCATCAATATGATTGGTTGAAGTTTTATCAACTCATTGATTTCATCTAGTCAATCAAAAGTGTGATTGGCTAATTCATGAATACAAATTATATTGCTCTTCTGCTATTGGATAAACACATCTTGAAGGGCATAGACAAATCATGTCTCCCTATCTTTATCCAGTGTTTGGACATTTAAACAAATGTCCAGGAAATTGAACAGTTTATAAACCCTTAGGATTACAAAACTGCCCCACAAGAGACAAAGAAAGGATGTAATTGATTTTTTAAACAGTTAAGAACAAGTTCCACAGGAAAACTGAAGGGAAAGAAAGAATGGGGAATTCAAATAATCGTTTCAGTACACTACAGGAATATGATATTTCTGTAAATACTACTGAAAAGAAAAGTTTAGAAAATGAGGCCAGGAAAAGTGATAAATGTAAAACATATTTCAATGGCACTGTTAAATATAATAAAATAACTGAAACAAATTATTCGCCGGACTGTTTAGATCACACTGATACAGAAAACAGTTTGTATACTGTCTGTTCATCAAATACCTGTGATTATAGTCCATCTGTACATAACACTGACTCATCGATTCATTTTGATACTGAAAGATGTTATGATCCGAATTGCAACCATGATAATTATTATCACGATAGCAATGAGATTAATCAGAATAATCGATATGTAAATAAAGAATGTACTCTAGACCATATTATGCATAATTCATCTCACGGGAAAAATGTTTGTTTAACTGAAATGCGACGATTTTATGCCTATTTAACACGTCACTTGTTTAAATCATCACACTACCTTACTTTGAAAACACATTGTCCAGGGTAAGTTAACCCCATCTTATTACCTGTGTGATAGCATGGTGATTATTTTTTTTCCTGGCTTGCTACCAAGTGGTGGTGGTGGTGGTAGGCTTGGTTAAGGGGTGTTTCTAGTTTTTTGCGTCGGTAGTCATAGTTATGCACGAATATCGATTGTATGCCATCAACATATCCTGCCATCGTCAGT